CTATGGCGAGGAACTAGAGAGAGGAGTCGGTCTGGGCAAACCGCTGAAAGGTCGTATGAAGGTGAAACAATGCGTGTTTTGGTGCCTTCAGCCGTCGGCATACGATGACTGCATACATGTGGCACGTGCAGCTGATTGTCACCTACAAAAGCAAAGCCTAAAGAAACCAGTGAATAAATTAGTGAACACACGGCATCCAGTTTTAGCTGGGGGAGGGGGCCGAAGGTCTGAAATCAACAGGTTAAATGCATCAAGAAGCTCTTTCCCAGGACGGTGGCAAACGTCACGGCGAGTTGGAGAGAGCAGTTGCAGTTGCAGTTGGAGAGAGCAGTTGTTGCTGAGTTGGAGAGAGCAGTTGTTGCTGAGTTGGAGAGCGCAGTCACTGGCAGTCTTTGACTCTGCTACCACAAGTGCTGTGCTTGTTCCTCTACGCCTGTAACTGCGAGGGTTGTAACGCTCAACGTCCCTAGTAGAGCTGAGGCCAGTGGCATTCTCCAGCGGAGGGTGTCGAACCCGGCTCTCGCAGACCACAACCCAGCGCGTTATCCCCGCAGCAACTCACGCTTTCCCTCGGGCGCAGGTCATCGTGGAAGGCCGGCTCAACTACTCGGACCCGAAGGTGCAGCAGGAGGTGGAGACGCTGCTGCAGAAACTGGAGTCGAGCCGCTTCGTGGCCGACAAGTTCTACACGGACTCGTGGCTGCGTGACTGGACGGGGACGCTGGAGTGGGGTGGCGACGTGCTGGAGGTGGACCTCTCTACATACGAGAAGTGGACGGAAAGCCTCAAGAGGGTGGGTGGCCGAGGCGTGGGTTGGTGACTCACTGGCGCAGAGGCTAAGCAAATGAAGAGCGATTGAGATGAGATGGATGCCCCCATAACAGCTTTTATTCAACTAAACGCGTATTAAACCTGTCCCCTGTGAACAACGCTCACTTCAGTGACTTTTCACACCATATCTGATCAGCGCGCTCCACCCGCAGCCAATTCTGTAGGAAGTGGGTGCAATCGTGATAACGGATTAAAGCAGAATGCTGTAGACAGGGGATGCGCATGAATTTTGAATTTAAGCAGAATAGCATCAGGTTATTGGATCGTAATGGGAAATCAATCCGAGGCGATTTTGGTAGGAATAGTTTGCTCTGCCACTAAACCCGTACGCCTACCTGCGGTTTCGAACTGTTACGAATTATTAGTTAGGAGGTTAGTCAAAGGATGCCATAGGGAGGGGGGGGGGGGGTGGGGAGTACCAGTTGGCGGTTGGGTGCAACCGCACCATGGGGGTCAGTTTTGCCCCGCCCTGATATTAAAATGTGAGAGCTTCACACACCAAATTCACTTTTGAGATCCATACCTTATGACCTTAAGATTGAGTAAGGTCAAGCAAAGTCAAACTTCAGAGCGACGTCTGAAGTGTCTCAGACCTTTCCATGCAACCCGGGGGGTATTTTGTGCATAGATACCTCCACTAAGGAAAAGGTCACTGTTCTTCACTTCAAGCAAGTGACATTATTTTGGGGGAAAGGTCACGTTGAGCAGAAACCTAAGTGATAGTTTTAATTTTTGAATTAGCAGGCACTCGGGAGGGGGCGCCAATTTTACCCTTAAAGTATTTTTCCAGAGCAACTTAAATCGAAGATGCAAAGTCGCGCCGAGCTTTGTACACCTATAGACAATTGGATATTCAATATTTTGGTATAAGTATGGATGTACCTTGTAAGGTTCCCTTACCTACCTTGTAAGGTTACCTTACAAGGTACAAGGTACCTTTCTTTTCTACTTTGACCTATCGACAGGCCAAAGTCAGGCCAATCTGGTTTTTGTTTCTTGGGCAAAAAAGTTTTTTAACAGGTTTTGGAAAACTGATGAATTTTCTTTATGGAGTAGTTTTTGCAATCCTTTCAATGTATTGATCATAGGGGCGTCAATAGACATCTTATATTGACTTCATTAAAGTCAGAGGAAGTCACTGACCTAGAATTACCCTGATTATTTTTATGTTCTTTTAGGATCATACCGCCTAGCATAGCTATTGACTCATATTTAACTAAAAAATTAAAACAATGGCATATGTTTTTGATCACCGTGACTATCTGAAGGTGTAGTAAAATCACTGACCAGAGATGGATACCAGTGACCTTTTGCTTAGAAGAGGTATTTAATTAAAAGATGGTTGCATGAGAAGATCTGAGGCACTTCGGACACCGATTTGGGGTTCGACATTGTGTGGCCTTATTTGACCTAAAGGTCATGATCTAGGGACCTGAGAAGCTGACACAAGTAAACTCATGTATAGTCCTACCTGCTCTGTGAATTTGGTGTGTCTAACTCTTTTGATTTTGTAGATATCAGGCTGACGTCAAACTGACCCCCACCCGGGCGCATTGCATTCAGCCGGCTGCTCTGGCACGTGTTAAAAAACTGCGAGTAAAATATGTTGGATGTGAAGGTAACTATGGCCTCAGCAGGTGATCAGCTAGCAACCTCCTTACATCAAATCGCCGCTGATTGGAGGCACTGCGATTCATAACACATGATTCCCTTTAATGCTTTAGTGCACGCCGATGAGTTGGTCAAAGTCACGGAATATGTGTAACTGAAAGGACACGTAAGTCTGGTGATTCACGATTGCTTGAATATTTTGGGATGGTGAGCTACGTCTGCAGTCAACCGTTGCACGAGCAACCCACCGAAAAGAGTTCATGGGGACTGACTGCCTGCGCCGCTACCGCGTCCACTTCCGCTGACCAAAGTAGTCGTTGTCCGAGTCTGTCCCCGTTTGACCCCTTCCCTCCACTAAGGCATCCCCTGGGACCGCCTCTGCCCACCTTTTCCAATCGTGTCACTCACCTGATTCTCCACTACCCACATTCCGCCTACCGACCCGGTGTCCAATCAATATCTCTCCTCCTGCAATCCCCTGCTCCCCCCCCCCCCCCGATTGCCACTCCTGTACCCGCCCCTGCTGACGCTGCCGCTCTCCTTCGTAGGTGATGCTGAGCGGGCCAGGGGGCACGCCCCAGCTGGACGTGGCGTTTGACGAGACGGGCCGGCACATCGTTGCCTCCCGCTTCATCATCCAGATCAAGGATGTCCAAGGCGAGACGGAGAGCAGCCTGATGATGGAGGAGCTCCGGACTATCTGTGACCAGTCTCCGCTCGAAGCCGAAGTCTTCGATCCTCGTTTCATCTTCTTTGATCAGGTGAGGTTTCGGTGGAGCAGGATAAACAATGCTGGCACGAAAGATGCGGCTACGTTTTAAACGGAAATTTTGGGACGTTTGTTCACAAATGACCTGCGAATGTCGACAGTTCCTGGCACTAGCGTGAGTCATCATCTGTTCCCACATGTCCCTGTGCGGCTGTCGTGGTACTTTTGCATAGAGCATGGCTTGTTAGTCAATTTTATGTCCAGTTCTTCCATCCCCTACGTGTCAGTAATGAAGCACCATGCTTCAGCACGCCAGCTGACCACTGCGTTTCTGTATTTGTTCTCAGTACACCTACGTAAGAAGCATCACCATACAGTCCACAGGCATTGCTGCCATCATCATGTGCATCATCTCGCTCATCTTCATCCCCAACCCGATCTGCTCGCTGTGGGTGGCATTCAGCATCCTCAGCATCGAGATCGGCGTCATCGGCTACATGTCGTTGTGGGGCGTGAATCTGGACAGCATCTCCATGATCAATCTCATCATGTGCATTGGCTTCTCGGTGGATTTTCTCCGCGCACATCAGTTACGCATACATGTCAGCGCACGGCAAGTCAGCCGACAAGAGAGTGGAGGAGAGTCTGTACGCCCTGGGACTGCCGATTCTACTAGGGGGCCTCTCCACAATAGCCGGCGTGAGCACGCTCTGTCTCGCGCCTTCCTACATCTTTGAGGTCTTTTTCAAGACCATCTTCCTCGTGATCACGTTCGGGCCTGATGCACGGCCTGTTCCTGCTGCCCGTGATGCTCTCACTGTGCGGGCCGGGCAGCACCCTCTGCGGCTTCCGCAAACGGGAGCGTGACTCGGCCGAGAGCGCCAGCTCCGCCGACCCACCGACCTACCTCGGCCCGCCGTCGCTGCTCGCCACCGGCAGCGACAAGTATCCAAACCCTCCGCTGGCCGTCGCGGTCACGCCGACCGCGGCCGACCCGCCGCCGTCCCGCCGCCGTCGCCTCCGGCCTGCGGCGTGACCCAGGCCGAGCTGCTGGCGCGGACCCTCGGTCTGGGCGGCTCCGGTGACGACACGAGCAGCGCCGGCAGCGCGTGCATCCCGCGCGCTCGTCTGGCGCGCCGCGCGCGCTCGCCACGCGAGCCGGGCGCGCTCGGTGTGTACAGCAACGAGGGCTACAGCAGTGACAGTGAAGCAGTGAGCAGCGAGTCTGGGGTCGAGCAGACCGCTAGTGGTACGTCCACCGCCGAGCTGGCGGACAGTGACAGCACCAGGACGGGCGCCTAGTGAGCGCCAGTCCTTGGCTCCGGACACGGACGGAACGCCAAGGCTGAGCTCCGGACACGGACGGAACGCCGAGGCTGAGCTCCGGACACGGACGGAACGCCGAGGCTGGGCTCCGGACACGGACGGAACGCCGAGGCTGGGCTCCGGACACGGACGGAACGCCAAGGCTGAGCTCCGGACACGGACGGAACGCCGAGGCTGGGCTCCGGACACGGACGGAACGCCGACCCAGCACTTTGGACGGGTCTCGACTTTGGCCGCGAGCAAAGCGCGGTGTGCAACTTTGGACGCCCGGGCGGGGGCTGGACTCCGGACGGGTCTCTGCTGGATTCCGGTCGGGCTTGGCTAGAGTCCGGACGGGTCTTGGTGGGACTCCGGTCGGGTCTTGACAGGACTCCGAACGGGCCTTAGCTGGACTCCGGACGGGACTCGGACGCTCCTCCCGGCTCAGACCCGCTCCGTCCAGCTGCTGGCGAACGGCCGAGTCCGGCTCCCTGGACTCCTGTCCGGAGTCAGCAATGGACTGGGTCTGGCTCCGGCTCGCGGGCTAAGCCCAACAGGAGACACGGATTGGGCTCCGGAGAAATTCCGACGCGGCATGGGTGACGCGGGAGTGACGATATACCAGGTCGGCTGAGGCTTCTGCGAAGGGCCGTCGTCCGAGGCTTGTCCACTCCCACGCCGCCCGCGCGGAAGAACGGGGAGCGTTCACCCGAGGCCGCATCCCCCGTCGACATGTCCAGCTACGGCCATGCCGTGTGCGTTCATCGCCATCGTTTCATCATCTACTGGCATCAGTGTGTGATGCTCGTGTTGCTGCCTTATCCCGTTGAACACCAAAGACATTCGGCAGCGACGTGGTGCTCTCCCGCGGGACCACACTTCAGTTGTGAGCGAATTCGTAGTGGAAAGATGGACCTTGCGTACTGTCTCCGGTAGTCGGTGGCATGAGGTCAATGCAAACATAAGTTCAGTGAAGTGAGCATGGTGAGCAGCACGATCATGCCGGCTCCGACAGCCATTGCGGCCTGGTCTTCCAGTGTTAGCATTCCGTCGCTTTGATGCCGCCATGCGTATACTAGTCTTTTCAAATTAAAGCGACTGATGTGTGAGCATGGGCTGCATATTTCAAAACCATCGCATTCATTTTGTTTAGCTTGTACGCCACTGCATCTTGCACGAACTTATGCGCAAGCTTGTTTTCTTGGAGTTGATGGCTCAAGAGATAGTTCGTAATGTCGTGATAATCAGCGTTCGGTTAGGGCCCAGCAGCGAGTCTGAATTGCCTTGCAGCTGTTGTTGTAGCTGTCTTGTGGAGTGTCTGTCTGTGTCTGTGGAGTGTCTGTATCTGTGTCTGTGGTGTCTGTCTGTGTCTGTGGTCTGTGTGTCTGTAGAGTGTCCAGTGTCTGTGTGTCTGTCTGTCTGTGTCTGTGTGTCTGTCTGTCTGTGTGTCTGTGGAGTGTCCAGTGTCTTCCAGTGTCTGTGGAGTGTCTGTCTGTTGTAGCTGTCTTGTGTAGCTGTCTTGTGGACTCCCGCGAGTCTTGCTTGTTGTAGCTGCTTGCACCTGTTGAGTTTTGAGTATCCTGTCACGGTTGCGTGAGCTTGTAGAATGCTGTTCGTTTTACATGAAGGCTGCGCACTGCCAAACTCCTCACCGTGGCAGCTGCTGAGAATGTGCAATGGCGGGATGTAGCCAGCGCCGAGGAGCCATGGGTAGCTGGCCAAGGCCGACAGAACAGAACCAGCTACCTGCCATCCCGTATGCCATGCTGAGGCCACGATTCCGCATGCACGAAGCGTCTCCACGACGAAAGGGATGCGAGGAGCCCGAATGAAGGGCTCAGGGTTACGTGAACGACATGTGGATGCGCTATCGGGTGGCAACAGAGTGGCAACAGGGTGCTGGTGACTTTTTAGGAGGATTTCCGGCGGCTGGTGTGATGTTCGCGTGTTCGGAGCTGTCGGGTCCTAGGTCCCAGGTCCGGGCCCTCACCAGTCCCAGAGGAGGTCGGCTTGTCCTGATGTCGCGGTGCTTTCATTCATGTCGTTTCTGAAGAACATTTAAGCTTTGTATTTTACCTCATAGTTAGTCCATTTCGTTCAGAAGAGCACTAGCGAAATGGAACGACGCGTGTGCCTTGTGCGTTGTAGTAAACCGTTAATACACCTTTCATATATGAGTTTCTGACCTTGATATCGTCTAAGCTCACAACGCGTACGCGTGGCATGAGTTTGTCTTAATCATGCAGTGCCCAGCTGAACTAGACAGCCACCCGCCGGGAAGTCTAGCAGTGGCACATCTCACAATCGTGCGGTGTTAGCCGGCGAAAATGCTTTTAACTGTTAAAACACATATGCATCCAGCAGGATGGGAGTAGTCGGCTGCAATTGCTCAAGGCGCGATAATCACTCTCACTCCTAATAGCGTATTCTTGTGGAACACCATGAGGATATCTTTCCCAAATCCGGCAAAGGTCAGTGCATTGGTAGCATACACAACTCGCCGCTGTAAGAAGTAGTTTTAAAGGCACTAACACTGGCTTTTGGCGTTGGCGCGTTCCCTGTGGGGGGGGGGGGGCGGTGCCATTGTTCGCCGGGATACGGCGAAAAGATTTTACTCCCTTCTGCATAGGGAAATAGTAAGACTTTGATGACATTCCGATAAGGGCGAATCGTAATCTGATTGCGCTGCCAATGGCCCCCATACGTGCCCTGTCAGGAAGGGCTAAAATGTCGACATTGTAAAGGAAGAGTTTTGGATCCGCTGCGTCATAGTCCGGCGCTCCCCCCCCCCCCCCTTCCCCCTTCTCATGAGTGCCCGTTTAAGCCAGAAGCAGCCTTGATGTTGAATAAGCCACTTATCTGATCATCATATATCACATCATTATAACGATACTCATCCATCAAAACGTATGCTGCATGATTTTGTTTTCACTTTACTAAGAGTGATAAGTAACAGTGTGCTGAAATGGCGCTGGTGAGTTTTGACCCGTTGGCCACTCCGTTGGTTACCAAGTGCTTTAGTAGCGTATTTAGAGCTGCACTTGTTTACCTGTGTTTGAGACGTTTATTGGACACTTAAAGGGGGACCCAACATGAGCCAAATGGATATGGCCCCTGAAAAGGAACTGGAAAACAGCTGACTACGCATGGATTTTGACATATTTTAGGGCAGTCGGCACTTAAATAGAATAAAGCCTGTGCGGATTGGCTCTATTAGTGCATTAAAAGGCTTGACTTTCATGACAGTTCATCAAGAAAAGGTATTTGCAAATGCAACGTTGGTGTGATAGTTCAGAAATAATATCATTTGTAAATTGCCTCGCTTTGAGCCTGTTCAGGCCAGGCCATTCCAGTCGGGGAAATCTAAAAAGCTTGAAATGACTTACGCTTCCAATGTTTTTGACCAGTACGCTGCAAAAACTGCAACAATTGCAACAATTGAAAGCGGATGCCAATTGCAGTGGACACGGGTTGGGGCCTGTGTGGTCGTTCATCGCTCCGTGCCTCTTGGTACCCGCGGCAGCAAATGGCACCCGGTGCTATTTGCATGATTTATGGCACTGTCCAGTGCCAAGAGGATTACCGCGTGGCAAGGGCCAGGCAGGCTAAGGCCGACCAGTGGCTCGTGGACGTGTCAGACGACCTGCCATTTGCCCGCACCGTGCAGTCGGTTTCACGCCTTATTGGCTCCCATGGCCGATCTGACTCATGGCTGAGTCCTTAAGAACAATAAAGAGGGGGATTCACGGCCTTCCTACATCGGACCACACTTTCGTCAGCGTGGTCGCCTGTCCTGTCCTCGTGGAATGGAGCTGGCTTTGTGGTGCTGCGGCGGGGTGTTATCCATATTTCCGAGAGATCTCCGGGGACAGGTCCGGTGAGGCATCAGGTTGTTGGGTACATTCGATCAACATTATCGGCTCAGCTCCCCCCCCAAAGTGACACCCCTGTGACTTTGAAACTCACACCCCTGGCTCTCAGCCTGACGGAAGGGATGCCCCAGACCGTCGCATAACAGACACAGGCCATTAGCACGGTTGTACATCACGCACAAACGTTATGCGGAAGCCAATCGGCGGAGACGACCACGACCGCTGAGCGTCCGGTCTGAGGCTGAAGTGACAGCGCCGCGGAAGAGGTGCCCGCAAAAGACACCGCCAACCAGGCTCTTTGCCATCTTAGATTACCAACCCTAACTATGAGCTTACACCAGGCAAACTCCGGATGAGGCGGCAGGTCACTGACCTTGCTCCGATCGAGGTCACCGGATGCGACGGCGCCGTTCACAGGTGATGCCTGTCAACCACCACCCGCCTTCGGAATGCAGGGCTGAGCAGCTATATGGACATCGGATGTTCTGAGAGAGCGGAAGCCTGAAGGAGGCGTAACATTGATAGCGCACTGAACAAAATGTGGAACATGCTGACCAATGATTGCCACAGGATACTGAAAAGTTGAACATTAAAGTCGTCAGGACTTGAGCCGTATATCGACAAGATCAGAATGCCTGCGTTAGGTCAAATGTACTTCAATTCGTTATCTGCACCCAAGGCGGTATCCGTTGTTATTAAGAGCGCAGTGATGTGACTGCAAGAAAGATTTTTGGATGGCAAGACGAGCATTGAACAACGATACTTGGGTACTTTTCAAAATACACATGTTAACTTGCCTGAGACCGTTGATGCATAAATGGAAGAGCTAAAGTTGTGCGAAACATTGCGTAATACAGGAGGGTAGTTTCCTGTTCAGTTGGGGCTTCAGCTCCCCCCCCCCCCTCTCCTCATCCCTTTTTGAGAAGTGACGTATTTTGCAGGTAAGTTTAACAAATTCGGTAGCTCTCACCCTAACTTGCAATGTTTTACCTTCGGCACAAGTACTTCTGCAATAAGAATCCTGACTTCGTGGAGCGCACATAACAATCGTGTATTTCTCCTGACACTCGCATCCAGAATAAATGAAGACAGCAGCGCGTTTACACACTCAACAGAACATCCATCAGTGGACAACGACCAACCGACGCTGCAGCGCCCTGTGTACTATCCAAGCTGGAGGCTAGACTGATTCGCATTCAATTACGAGCGCACATCCTCCCACGCTGGTACCATTAAACACCACTTCTGCACATATTTCACGGCGTAATAACATTTTCACCGCCGCCATTGGTCAGGAGCCAATGAGGGCTTAAAATGGAAGTCCCATGTCAGGGGATGGTGAAATTCGCACGGCAGAGGACACGACACCGTTAGTTGTAAATCAGGCCGCCCTCGTAGTCATAGTAACCATGTGCCTGATAACCCGACTCATAGTCAAGGTACCCTCCGTACTCAGGAACGTAGTAATCCTCACAGAGCCCGACTGGCGAGCAATACTGGCCATATGGCAGGCAGTTATGATCTTCCTCGCACTGCACGCACACGTAATTCATGCAGAGGCCAGTGTAACACATGCCGTGGCGGTGACAGGCCCCGCCCAGCGACACTAGCGGCACACAGCGGCGGCCCGGATAACTACAGAAGAAGTCGCCCACGCAGTCCGAGTCTCTCTTGCAGTCGACGCAGCGGTGGTTGACGCACACGGTGCTGGCGCAGACCAGGCCCAGCACGCACGGCGTGCCCCGGGGATTGGAGCGCAGCGCACGTGGCAAGATTGGTCTCTGAAACACGTGGCAAGCCGCGCTCTCAGGAAGCGGTGGGTATCTGCGACACCTCGCCAGGCCTGGGCTGACAGTGGCGAACTAGGAATAAGGCGGACAAATGGCGTGTAACAAGCCAGTGAATGGCGCGAAAAAAGCCATTGGATGTTGCGCAACAAGTCAGTGAATGGCGCGCTCTAAGCCTTTAAATGAAGTATTTAAAACGATAGGTACGAATTTTGAGACAATTGTCTTTACAATCGCAGTTAGGTGTACCTAAGATAGAGATGATATAGAAAGTAACAGGGGCGTAGTGCGCACAGTAGGTTGGAATGGGTTGGACAGTGAGAAATGTGGAATCTTGACCCGAAAATACGCCTACAAAACGGTTCCACGGACCGTCTCCGGAGTTGATCAGCTTTCTTCTCAAAGTCTGGGTAACGGACTGGAATCCAAGTTAGTGCTAGGATCTGAAGCGCTTCCCGAAACTGGATGAGAAAATACAACCCTGGTGAGTAGAAAGGTGTGCTAATTTTGTAGCCAAAAAGATGCAACAATCCATTGAGCGTGGGTGAAGTTCATGACCTATGACACTTAAACGGGCTGTTTACCATTTGTATGGGGTTTGAACTGAGATAACCATTTTCAAGGCCATTCATTCCCCGCAGCCCACAGTCATCCACTTTGAAGACTTCAAATCCTCTCGTTTCGTTCCTCAGTTTCGAAGGTATGCAGAGATGCATAGCGTCATAGAGACGCCACATGAGTCCTGCTTTAAAGGAAATGTTTCAAGTTTGAAAATGCTGAAGAAGGCATCGGGAATGAAGACCGCTCTAAACAACACAAGTTCTCCGTGGAGTAAATATGTTCCCTCACTGGTCATGGTTTGATTTCGTCCTCGTATCTTGCAGAGCATTGACTGAGAGCCAATGGGTGGCCGTTATGTCCAGAATTTGTGGCCACAAACTCCAGATATAAACGACTTAATGATATCTTTCTTGGCATTAATTGCCGCACGGATAGTGAAATAGCAGGATACAAATTACGCCATTACGGCGTCATTGATGCCTGGGTGGCCTGGAAATAGCCTCTCCGTATTATTCTGTACATCTTCGCGGGCATGTACATTAGAAACTGGAAGGGTTTAGGCGTTCAGGGGTGTGAGCTGCACCAAATGATCTTCAAGATGGCTACTTCAGTTCAAAACACCATACTAATGTGGAGCACTCCCTTTAATGGCTGCATTGTGTTCAAGAAAAACACCACCATTGATTTATTCATGTTTGGGGTATGTCGGCACGAATCGCCGCATCTACAGGCAGAATTTGGCTTTTAAGCAGCTGAACATGATAAAGGCAAGATCCATGATGAACTGCGTTCTCTGGTACATCATGCAGGCGATCTTTCGAGTTATTACGGACATGAGACTGGGAATCGAATAACTCAAAAATAGTGCCGTAGCCGAGAATGCAAATGCAAGTAAAAATTTAAAATTGCGAACACATGTGCAAGAAAAGCGCGAGAATGGCCAAAGCTCACGCCCATAGCGATCAAATCGTGAATATACGCGCATAGACCACCAACGCCATCTTTTGGCGCGTAGAAGTACCACAATTGAGTGAGTCCATTCGCTACCGTGGCAATTTGTACACGGCCAGATTGCCAGCGATTCTGACGTCAGATAAGCGTTTCATGACATGATCAAACGATGACGTATTGAGGAGTATGTTTAACAGATAGGGAAATTATGTTGTCTAGAGCAGACTTCTGCACTCCGAAACATATCGACATTAACAGGTGAGGTGTTTTGATCATACCTGCTGCCTGCCTCAAAACCTTCAAATGTGGAGCATTCCCTTCAAGAAATACGCAATACCGCAATGTGGCAAGTGCCTGCTTGTGATAGTTACCGACAAACGGGTCAAAAATCTACCTGTTTCGCACAGCTCTGTGCCAATCCGCACGCACGCACAGCCAGTGCGATTCATTCGCATGTCTCTGGCACGTCATGCTCAC